TAGTTTCTTAAAAATGTAACTTTTGGAGGGGTCAAAATTGTTGTGCAAGCAAGATATCTATCCATAAAAGGAAGAGAAGGACAAGGCTTTCGATGAGCTCCTGACTCCTGAAACGAAGAAAATAAAATCCAGAAGCTTGAGTTCCCTGCCGAGATGTCAGAAGCAGAGAGCTGAAGTAAAAAAGACAGAAACAAAATTAGTACAGCGGTTGGGGAAAAGGGTCACCTTTGCTTTCAACATTAGTAGCTGCTCGTAATAATTAATAGTTAACAACATTAATATCCCGTCAACATTTGATGATCAGGAAGCCCTCACCAGGATAGAGGGTTGAAGCCCAAGAACTTGGTCGAAGACCAATGTCCAACGTCATGACTGTAGTAGAAAAGAACGAGGGCAGGATGACCCTTGTACCACTGTCACAGCTGAAAGGTCTAGGGGTCTTGTCTGTCGGTTAAAGAATTGAAAGGCAGCTGAGTGTGGTGGTGCATGCCTTTAGTCCCAGCACTAGAAAGACAGACAGGCAGATCTCTGAGTTGGAGGCCAGCCTAGTCTACAGAGAGAATGCTAGGACAACCAGGCGACATACAGAAAAACCCTGTCGTGAAAAACCAAAAGAAAAAAGGCAGGAAAAACTGAGCACACCAGATAGCAGATAGCAGCTGAGCGATCTCAAACATCACAGATAGCAGCAGACAGAAGCATCAGCTGAAGAAAAATGCTTGAGGAAGAGGAGATGCACGCACACGCAGCAGACACAGAAAACAAGACCCTCCTTAGGAAGCCAAATAATCAGTCTTTTCTCTAGGACTGGGATTTTTAAAGTCTCTGGAGAGTTTCCTCCCCTAAGTTAGGGGTGGTAAGTGTGAAGGCAGATAGGGTGATTGATTGGTCCACAACTGTTCTGTAAACATGTCCTGGGGTCTTGAACTTGTAGACTGAGGTTGGGCAGAAGCTGTGCAAATATTTTCTCTATGAGAGAAGTTAGCTTTTAGGCCTCTGGTGGCTCTGAATGGAGGAATACTAAGATACACACACTCGATAGAGAGCCCTTCAGCTGAGCCCCCTCCATCACTTCATAGCCTTCCTTGCAGGCTACGAGCTGGACATTGCTTTCACAGCTGAAATGGATGGGGCGCAGCATAGCCCTGGACTGCCATCAGAACACCTCCCTTGACAATCTCAAAGGTTTTTGGCCAGAGCCTATGGAGCTGCCAGGCACTCTGAAGGTTCAAAGGGCTTTTGCCAGTGAGCAAAACCTATCCTGACACCAGACATGCCCTTTGAAACGTTGCTAACCTCATATTATGGAAAAAAAATATCAAATTTACATATTGTTGCTACATTCCCACTTACTATTTATTTGGTGGGTATTTTTTTGTGTCCAAAATTATTTCTAGATTTTTTTCATAGCCTAACAATGGTCAATAAAACTGTTTAAAAAAAAAAAACTCTTAAGAACTCAATAACAAGAAGACAAATAGCCTGACTGAAAAACATTTAGAATATCTCAATTGATCTTTCACTAAAGACACACAAATGACTAATGGTCCCATGAAAAGATGCCAAGCTTCAGTCACCAGGGTAATAAGTACAAGGAGCAAAGTGCACCGTGCATGCCTGTTGGGACACTGCGCCTGGTGGATTGGGTCTCCCCTAAAGTCCTACACTGAAGTTCTAATCATTTAGAGTGTGACTGTAGTTGTAGACAGGATCTTTTTAAAAGGCTGTTAAGGGCTGTCTTAGTTAGGGTTTCTCTCGCTGTGATGAAACACCATGACCAAGAAACAAGATGGGGAGGAAAAGTGTGGTGGCCCACAAAGGACTCGGTTTCCATCTGGAGTCTATTCTGCTTATGAATCCTTTGAGTTCAAGTCTGCTTGTTTCAGTCTCCTTCAGGGCTGGGAGAAAGTTCTGGTTGAGCCCACTGGGGAGGGGGGAATACATTATCTATTAAGACACAGGTTGGTGTATGCCAGCCAAAGGCACATATAGATAGAAAAGGAAAGTGCTTGCTGCTAGCAGGACTCACCCGATAGACAACGAGCCTGCTTGTGCTTTCTCCCAAGGACAGTACAGGGAGGTGGTTAACTGACTGTACTGCTCTTTGTTCTGCTTTCTGAAAAGCAAGTTCTGAAATAAAGTCTGGGCTGTTTGGTATTGGCCAAAAGACCTCCCGGATCTATCCTGTGTCTCTGCTTTGGTTTCTTTCACCTGCCGTTTCCCCAATCCTCGCACCCCCCTCCTGGTACCCAGATTGACTGACTCATCAAAGGCTCCAACAGAAAGGGTTTATTGAACTTATGCTTCCATCACAGAAGGAAGTCAGGACAGAAACTCAAACAGGACAGGAACCTGGAGGCAGGAACTGAAGCAGAGGCCGTGGAGGGGTGCTGCTTACTGGCTTACTCCACATGGCTTGCTCAGTCTATTTACTTTTAAAATCCGGGACCACCAGCACAGGGGTGATTCCACAATGTGCTGGGCAAACCTCCAATCAATCACTAATTAAGAAAATGTCCTACATGCTGGCCACAGCCCAATCTTATGGAGGCATTTTCTCAGTTGAGGTTTCCTCCTCTCAGATGACTATAGTTTGTCTCAAATTGACATAAATTTAGCCAGCATAAGAGTTGAGAATTACGATGAATAATCTTTGTTGTCAACTTGACTCCATCTGGGATCGATTATTACCCAAGCTACTGAGTACAAGAAGAAAAATCCTAAATCTTGCTGGCAATCCAGATAAAAGGGCATGGAAGAGAGAAGCTTGCCTTTCGCTTGTTTTCTCTCACTCTCACTGACAAGTTCATTTATCCCATTGCTTTGGCATCAACTTCTGGATTCCAACATAGACTGGACATCAGCATCTCTTCAGGAATCCTCCAGGCTTCCAGGGCCAACTTGGGACTGCTGGGACATCCAGCCTTATGGATTGAAAAATCACTGGCTTCTCAGCCTCCAATGTGAGACAGTCATTGTTGGACGACCAGGATCACATACTCTAAGACAATGTAAGAGATCACATATATACATGTGTATTCATTCATTCTCTCCGTTCTGTTCCTTTAGAGAACGCTGACCAGTACAAGGATGTAGCTCGGTTGGTAGAGTGCTTGCCAAGCATGCACAGAGCCCTGAGCCCCTTTCTGAGGACCACATAAATGGGTACGGTGGTGCACATCTCTAATCCCAGCACTCAAGAAGCAGAGTCAAAAAGACCAGGAATTCATTGTCATTCTAGGCTACAGAGAATTCAAGGGCAACCAAGGCTGCATGAGATGCTGTCTCAAGAAGGAGGAGAAGGGCAAGAGGAACAGGAAGATGAAGAGGAGAAGGTGGGGGTGAATAAGTAGTCAATTTAAAAGGGGGTAATTTGGGTAGGCCCTACTTCAGTCTGATTGGTGTCCTATTTAGAAGAAATTCGAAGACACTGACAGAGACACTGTCTACACAAGCCAAGGAGCAGGGTATCGGCAGGACCTGCACCAGCACCTGGATCTCGGAGCTTTGGCCTCCAGAATGGTAAGACTAACCATCCGTGGTAGTTTGTTATGGCCATCTGGCAGGCTGGTGCCAATATCTATTACCAGATAACAACAAATGCTGGTGACTAGGGCTCCTCTTTGCTGCTGACAGGAAGGTAAAATAGTGTTGGGCCTGGAGAGATGGAACTTGATGCTCATGGAGAGAGTCAGAATTCAGTTGCCAGCATCCACATTGGCAGTTCACAACAGTCACACTTCCCAGCATCTACTCAAGAGCAATAAAAGCACAGGTCTAGCGGGGCAGTGGTGGCGCACGCCTTTAATCCCAGCACTCGGGAGGCAGAGTCAGGTGGATCTCTGTGAGTTCGAGGCCAGCCTGGTCTACAGAGCGAGTTCCGGAACAGGTTCCAAAGCTACAGGGAAACCCTGCCTCGAAAAAACAAACAAACAAAAAATCACAGGTCTAACAAAGACTTGGCCAGGAATGTTGTTACTTTTCGCGCAACAGACACAAAGGAGAACAACCCAGACACCTATCCATGCCGTGACTCATCACTGTTCACCAGCAACGCTGAGTGTAAGACCTGGAGGCACATGTCCACTAGAGGTGGCCTGTGGGAAGCATGGCAAACACTCTACTAAACGTCTGTCCGTACCACCTGCATATTGGCATGCCACAAACAACGGTGACCAAGATAGACAGAGCCAGTCCTGGGAAAGCTTCCAACCCAGGAATTCAGACGCCAGCACCTAGCTAAGTACCCTCTAGGCAAGAAGCCAACCTCAGCTATCCTGACCCCAGGTTCTACTGTGAGATGTCAGGGAAAGGATCTGGCTCCTCCTTAAACCTGGGAACCCTTGCTGGAGGAGCAGCCAGGGCTCCTCTGGTTTGGTGTCTGTACCCCGCAGTGAAGTGATGAAGTACGAGAGTTGGCGTGGTGTATGACTTTACATGCTGTGCGTGTCAGGGGTGAAAAATGTATGTGAAGTGCCTTAGCCGTATGTCATACGGGGAGGGGTGAAGTATGTATCAGGTATGTGAAATGTATGTCAGGGGTATGTGAAGTGTGTGTGTCAGGTGTGTGGCCGATGAGAGACAGTGCAGAGGTCTGCTATGGGAGGGGGTGTGAAGCCACCTGAGCCACAGTGGTCCCTCCTCCAGCCTGCATCTCCATGGCAACCACAGCCTCGTTCTCAGGCTCCAGCCCCTTGCCAGCCCCGCCTGGTGGCGAAGCGTCTGGAACTGCATCCTCCGCATCCACACCGCATCCCTGTCCTCCCGCGACTGCGTCCTGCAGCAACTGCCTGTGAGCCATTTCCACGTTTCTTCTTTTGGAATGGGGACTAGGGGGCCAGAATGTGTGCGTGGGTGTTCAAGGGTGCAGGGATGTGAGAGGTGCGAGGATGGGGGGGGGGCGGGTGCAAGAGTGTGCGAGTGTGCGCGTGTGGGATGTATGTGCAAGGATATAGGTGTAGGGGTTGAGAGGCTATGTGGGAGTAATTTGGCTAACCTGATGGCTGCCAGAGCGGTGGAGCACAACCATCTCCTCCCTGAGGCCTCCACTAGAAGTCAGGCTGGCCCTGCTAGCTCAGGTGGAGGATGGTCATTAGACCTCTCAGGACAGTTGGGGGAAGCTCTGCTGCCTTGAGGTGGAGTGGTCCCTAGACCTCCAGGTATGTCGAGAATCCCCTACAGGCCAATGGCAGCCTGGACATTAGAAAGAATTATGGCTGCTCAGCCAGCACAAACCTCATACGAGGCTGGAATTCCCAGTCGTGGGCATAGTGGGGTAGCAGAGGCAGTGGGACAGCTGAACCTCAGCCCACCCAGTCCAAGGTGACTGCAAACCCCCTCCCTGTGGTCTGGCTCCACCTCTGCAGGTCCGGAAGAGCCAGTGGGAGCTGTACATCGTCAAGCTGGTCCAGGGGCACAAATCCTAGCTCCTGTTCGGGTTGTCTGTGGGGGCGGGGTGAAGAAAAGGGGAAAACAGCCAGATGTGGAGAGAGGGGTCAGCAGAAGGGGCGTTGACCAGAGAATTGAGTGTTTAGCTGTCTGCGCATGGGAGGGCATGATGGGGGTCGCTGCTTGAAGGTTCGAGGAGGGTAGGAGATAGGGCAGCCACTTGTCTCAAACCACCTGCCGCGGCTCTGTTCCGGATGCTGGGCCACAGGTGGCTGGTGAGTGTAGGAAGCCAAAATCAACCGTGCACCTCCTCTTCGTCCCCCTTTGCTTGGGCCCCGTAGAACAACAACCCTTAAAACTAGAGGCAAACCACTACCCATAGGGCTGGGATGCAAGCAGACCAGGGTGGGCTCTGCCGCAGGGCCATGGTGGTGAGGTGGGGGAGGGAGGGCACGAGTCCGCACCAGTGTGCACTTCTCGTGACGCAGCATGAAAGAGTGCGCGTGAAAGCGAGTCTTGTGACCTCTGGCCCAGCTTTTATGGGCTTTCAATTAAGAGTCCGCATCCGCTTTCATTTATTTGTCCGTCAACATCTTGTCGGTGCACAACCCCCAGATCGTGACCAGAGATGCCCAGCCCCACCCCCAGGAGGGCACTGCGAATGAGTAGCAAACCCTCAGGAGACGAAATGACAGAGTAGGATAGAGAAGGACCGGTGAATGGCGTTGGGGCGCCTTCTCAATTCTAAAGCTTTATGATCCCTGCCATCTTCCCAGAGGTGCCCCCCAAGATCCAGGGCGGACTCTTCTTGTGTGCTGAGAAGAGGGGAGAGTTTTCCACACAGAACCCTTCGTTGGCGATGTTCTGACTGTGGCGAAGGAGGACTAGAAACTTGACATGGAACTCGGGGGCGGGGGCGGGGGCTGCCTCTGTTGCTATGGGAACCCGCGGTGACGTAAATAGCCCGCAGCTGTGTCACCGTGGCAACCGAAGGCGGAGCTCGTGGGGAGGGAGGGGAGTCTTGTGGACCGTAGTAGAGACTTGGATGCGTGGGGAGGACGCCATCTTCTGTCGATTCCCGTCTCCCTGGCTATTTTACCTCCACGTATCACCTGGCCCGCCGTTTATATTCTTCATAATAATTTCCGTTCCGTCTCTATCGCAGTGCCTAACAGGTTGCCGCCAAACCATCTGATTGCCCACATTCTCGGGCTAATGTAGAGCCAGCTTCCTCTCTAGGGCCGAATCCACCTCTTAAAGAGACTCTTTGTTGGCAACTGCTTGGTTTCTGTAAAGGCCGGACCAGGCAGAAGGTCACAGGTGTAACACACGTCAAAGGGAGCAGGGTCTTCGAGGGTCTGCCTGAGATGGGGGAGGGAGTGTTGATGCTGCTTCCTGTCCTCCTCCAAATAGCCGTACCTCCCTCACCACCTATCCAGCCTTTCTTCTCGACTTTCTTGCCCTGGGAAGTTCTGCTCCCAGCTGTCCCTAACACTGGACAGCTTTGAAATACCATCTCCTCTGTGTTCCTCAGGGCCTGTCACATCTATGGGGCCCAGCCAGTAGGGAGGGGGAAGCAGTGGTCATCTGCAGGTCTGTAAAGGTCAGCTGGCTTTCCAAGGGTGACTGTCCAAACGAACCCCAACTTTTACCATCCTGGAGGCAAGAAGTCCATAATCAGATTTCAGCAGAGCCATGCTTTAGATGAAGCTTCAAGGAGAAGGTTTTTCTTTTCTCCTTCCAGTCTCTGCTGTCCTGAGCAGTGTTTGGGTAGCAGCTGTATAATTACAGCCTGCCTCCATACGCAGAAGGCATTTCTCTGAGGTCCAAGCCCTCTTATAGGGATGCCCACAGTGGAATAAACCCGCCCCCTATCTCTTCTAATATGACCTTATCTTAACTCCATTACAACGATGAGAACTGTTTCAAATAAAATCTTTCACAGGTACTAAGAGTTAAAACTCAGTGTCCTTTTTGTGGGGTCATCAGTTAACCCATAACAACCTGTTGTCACTTGTGTGTTGCAAATATCCCTCAGAGTTTCTGTTTCTCCTGTTTGAAGGTCTTGTCTTGATAGGCAAGGGTTTTTTATTTCAACATGGAAGGTAATTTGTTGAGATTTTCTTCTATAAAAGGAAATCTGAGCATTGCTGGTAAAATCTTTCTCTTCCTGGAGTTGGAAATATTCTCCTGCATTGCCTCTGAAGTGCTTTATTGTTCTTGTGAACATGTGTGCATTGGGTGTACACCCGTGTGTGCTCATATTGTGTATTCAGATATGCCTGTAGTGATGGGATCTGCTTCACTCCGAGTGGCCTTAATTATTAAGACACAACCAGCCTCTCTGCTATTAACTGAGGTCTGAATGGATAGAATGTGTCAAATGGGTTTCTCTCCGCAAGGCATCAAGACCACCAGTGCACACTGCTGTGTTCAAGGCAGACACCCACCCAGCAGACAGACTTCCTTTGTCAAGACATCTTGTGTGTTCCTGTCTGTCTACCTTGTACATACAATTTTGATGTTTCAAGTTCATAAATTTGTTAGAATTGTGATTGGAAGTTGTTAATTCTACAAATACAGTCAGGGGATTTAAGCATTAAGACCTCCACAAATCTGCACTATGGAGGCTTCCCTACCTGATAAAGGATTTCAGATGTTCCTTGGGCCCCGGTCACTATTCCGTGACCTTCCATATGGAGCACCTGCCCATCATCTCAGTCCTGGGCTTTGAAACTGTTTAAATAGAACCTTCCTGGCTCACACCTGGAGAGGTTGTGGCAGGATGATCTTAAGTTCAAGGCCAGCCTTGAACTATAGAGGGCTGTAAGTGAGACCCAACTTTATTAAAAAATAAAAAAACTGGATTGGGGAGATGATTCAGGGGTTGAGAGCAGAGAGGATCAAAGTTGTATTCTGAGTATCCACGCCAAGCAGCTCCCAGCTCCCTGTAACTTCAGCTTCAGAGGATCTGATACCTCTGACGTCTGAGGACAGCTGCATGAACAGACACACAGAAAACTCCAGTTCCGGGGGATGTGGCACCTTCTTCTGACCTCTGCAAGTGGGCACAGACATACGTGCAGGCAAAACATAATAGAAGAAATTACACACATAGAAACATATCATTAAAAATAAAAATTTTTAACACACTTTTTTTTTCTCAAAAATATTTTTGCCACCATCATATAGAACTATATCTGCTTTCTAAGAACTCAAATTTAACTGGACTTTTAAAAATTTCTGTGTGTATGAATGTTTTACATGTACATTTGTGTGTGTGCCACATGTATTTCTGGTGCCCTTGGAGTTCAAAACAGACCATTGGAGCCCCTGGACCTGGAGTCACAGATAGCTGTGAGCTGCCGTGTGGGTGCTGGGAACTGAACAGAGGTCCCGTGCAAGCGCAGCCAGTGCTCTTAACCGCTGAACCCTTCAAGGTCTTTATCGCACTGACTGTGTGTGAGTGAGTGCCCTTAAGTCACAGCATAGGTGAGGTCACAGCACACCCGCACGAGGCAGTTTCTCCTTCCACCATGTGAGTCCTGGGGATTGAACTCGGGTTTTCAGGCTTGGCAGCAGGTGTTCTTACCCACCGAGCCATCTCACTGACCCTGGACGCTTTGAATTTTTATACTTTCTATGTGGAGGATTTGTTTTTGCGTTTAAATACAAAAGCTATTTCATCCGCGAATAATCTGTATTACTCTCTGAATCTCTGTTCTGGTTTCTTTACCTGGTGAAACTGTGCTGGCTGAGTACTCAGGATCGCAGTTTCTGGAACTTCATCAGCTGGGTTAACCACTCTTCTACGGCTGTGAAGAAGCACCATGACCAAGGCAACTCTTATAAAATAAACCAATGGAGGGCTTACTTACAGTTAAGAGGCTTAGTCTGTTATCATCATAAAGGGGAGCCTGGCATGGCAGACATGGTACTAGAAAAGTAGCTGAGAGCTACATCCTGATCCATAGGCAGAGAGAGAGAGAGAGAGAGAGAGAGAGAGAGAGAGAGCTCAAAGCCCACCCCCAGTGACACACTTTCTCATTAACAAGGTCACACCTCCTAACCCTTCTAATCCCTTTATATTATGACACTGCTTAGTGACTAAGCATTCAAATATATGAGCTTATGCAGGCCATTCCTGAGCAAACCACCACATCAGTCAAGGCCATCTACATCTCCAAGGTCGCCAAAACAGAAGACCCAGATTTAAGGTGATGATGCACACCTGTAATCCTGGACTCAGGAATCTGAGGCAGGAGGATCAGGAATTCAAAGCCAACCTGGGCTATGCGGCGAGACCTGTCTCAAAAGACAAAACAAAACAAAACAAAAACTTATGTTCATTAATCTCTTGGGGTGTGTGTGTGTGTGTGTGTGTGTGTGTGTGTGTGTGTGTGTGTCCTTCATAGGATTTAGGAACATTCCTTCTTCCCCTGTCCTCAGTTTGCAAGCAAATTTTTTAAATTTTGAGTGAACTTCAAATCTTACCAAATAAAGACTCCTGATAAAATTGCCCAGATGATTTTTCTTCTTTATGCTGTTAATGTATAGATAATGCTTCTTTTTCTCTTTTTCTTTCTTTTCCTTTTTTCTTTCTTTTTTCTTTTTTTCCTTTTTTTAAAATGGTTTCTCTGTGTAGCCTTGACTGCCCTGGTACTCACTCTGTAGACTAAACTGGCCTCCAACTCAGAGTTCTGCCTGCCTCTGCATCCCAAGTGCTGGGATTAAAGACATACATCACCACTGTGTGGCTTGCCTATTTATTTATTTATTCATTCATTCATTCATTTACTTATGAGACAAGATTTGTAGTCCTGGCTGTCCTGGAACTCACTCTATAAACCAGGCTGGCCTCAAACTCAGAGATCCACCTGCCTCTGCCTTCTGGGTGCTGGAATTAAAGGGGTGTGCCACAACCACCCGGCTAGCTTTTCTTATTTTTAAAAACTTTATTTTATTTGCATAGGCACTTTGCCTAAATGTATGTCTGAGTACCATGTGTGTGCCTCATGCTTATGGAGGTCAGAAGAGGACATCAGATCCTCTCAAACTGGAATTATGGATGGTTGTGAGTCACTACGTGGGTGCTAGGAACTGAACCCAGGTCCTCTGTAAAAGCAGCAAGTACTTTTAACTTCTGAGCCATCTCTTCAGTCCCTTCTTATTTTGTTTAATTTAGAGCCACCAATCTGGTGCTGGGGAACTGAAGCTAGTCTTCTGCAAGAACAACAAGTGCTCTTAACTATTAAAAACCATTTCTCCAGCGCCAGCGTGTGTGTGTGTGTGTATGTGTGTGTGTGTGTGTGTGTGTGTGTGTGTGTGTATGGTGTATGCAGTGTGTTTGTGGTATATGTGTGTACGTGTGTATATATGTGATATGTGTTGTGTATGTAGTGTATGTATGTGTGCTGTGTGTGGTATATGTTTGTATATGGGGAGTGTACAGGGTATGTGGTGTGTATGTGTGTGTGGTGTGTGTGTGGTATGTGTGTGGTGTGTGTGTATGTGGTGTGTGTGTGGTATGTATGTATGTATGCAGTGTGGTGTGTGTGTGTGTGGTATGTGTGTGTGTGGTGTGGTGTGTGTGTAATGTATGCATGTGTGTTCAGGTACATTCACCTGTATAAACGTAGCTCACTTTGGGTGTTTCCTCTGTGAGTCTGTACCTTGCTTTGAGACAGGATCTCTCACGGAGCTTCATGCTCTCCATTTCAGCTCTGCTGGCAACCGACTGAGCCACCAAATTCCATTTCCTCCAGCCCTGTGGTTACAGATGCAAGCCACTGGCCCAGCTCTGTGTGGGTGCTGGGATCTGAACCAGGTCCTCAGACTCTCACAGCAAGCACTTTCCCTGCTGAGCCATCTCCCAGCCTCGTGGAATTGCTTTCAAAGTTTCACACCCAGAATAAACACAACCTTGGTGATCTTCCTATGTTTTGCTGAAGTTTCACTTAAGGTCTCTGCTGTCCGTGGGTGGGACTGATCTGGGAGTTCCTTCCTCCTAATGTGCTTGAGAGCTGTAGGCGGGAGGCAAGGGGGTAGCCTCAGGAGCTGATGAGAGCTCTTTTGTTCTTTCTCGGGAAATTTTGCAACACATTGGCAGTATTTCCTTTTTAAATTGGTTATATTGGCATGATTTTGTCTGAGATTGAAGTTCTATGTGAGATGGGGGAGTTGTTTGGTTTTGTAGTATTTTATTTTATTTTTTGAGATAGGGTCTCACTGTGCATCAGTAGCTGGCCTGGAACTCACTGTATAGAGCAGGCTGGTCTCAAACTCAGAGATATTCCTGCCTTTGCCTTCCAAAAGCCAGGATTAAGAGCAAGCACCAGCACACACAGCTCCAAGATGGTTTTAATAATAGTATATTTTGCTTTCCATATGTCATCTTAGAGGTCCCTTCCCCTCTGAGAGCAGCCGCAAGATGAGAGTGTGAAGCATGATTAATAAAAACTCAGAAACAGAAATTGGTGTTCAACCTGAAGGTCAGGAAAGCAAAACAGCCAGCCACTGACACTTACCTCAACTTCAATCTGAAAATGACGACCCTGCCTCCAGGAAACCTCAGAACGTGACTGAGTCTCTTCCCATTTTATAATCCTCTCTAGTTCTGGGATTAAGGGTGTGCACTGCTACCTCCTGGTTTCTATGGCAAGATACTGTACCTACTGGGATTAAAGGTGTGTGTCATTGCTGCCTGTTCTGTAAGGCTGGCCAATGTGGCTGTTTTACTTTTCTGATATTCAGGCAAGCTTTATCTATTAAAATAAAAATAAAATGCCACTACAGAGCATATACTTCTTTTCTTAAAAAGTTATTTATTATGTTTACATTTATATATCTGTGTATGTGTGTGCACCACATGTATGCAGAACCTGTGGAGGCCAGAAGAGGGCAGCAGATACCCCTGGAACCAGAGTTACAGGAGCCTGTGAAGGCATTTTATATGGATCCTGGAAGTCCAACCTTGATTCTCCACAAGAGCATTAAGCACTCTTAACTGCTGAGCCATCTCTCTACCCTTGAACATGTTCACTCTTGAGTTACTGGAGTCAGTGGGAATTGCACCCTCCTCCAGACTGCAATGGCTGCCTGACTGGCAGGATGGGCTCTCAGTCCCCCAAAGAGCTGGTCTTCCTGCACCACCAGAACTATGTACTTTTGTCACCTTCCTTGGAAGTTCACATAGAGAACCAATGGCAATTAGCAGTGACATGTCCCATATTGCATGGGATAGACATTTTTGTTGTGTTTTGCTTTAAAGTATTAACAGTTAACAGAGTCACATTGCTCTGGGCCTCCTGCTAAGTCCAGTTCTCCCACCTACTCCCTGAATCCTTTCCTTCTGGTGGAATATGTGTCTTCAAGCACATGCCCGAGCAGGCTGGCCAGAGGATGGTATCGCAGTTCTATTTTGAAATATTCTCTGGCCAGAGGCACCATTCTGCACTGCTGAGGGGCCAGGAGGGAATGTGAAACCAAGAACTGGACCTCTTACAGCACATCCCTGGATTTTACATGAGAAGCCTTGGGGCATTCCTGGCCTTTCCTCCAGAACTAGCTATATGATTGTCCATTGCATGACTGGTAAGCGGTGACTCTAACTCTGTTTCTAGGCTGGGACAAGGACCGCCACCGCCATGGTGAAGCTGGGCTGCAGCTTCTCTGGGAAGTCAGGCAAGGAAATGGGAGGCCACGAAGGGGCTGCCATGGACAGTGTCCCTCTGATCAGCCCCCTAGATGTCAGCCAGCTTCAGCCCTCATTCTCTGACCAGGTGAGTAGCCTGAGACAGTGCAGGCCTTCTCAGCTTGCCTAGGGACGAAAGGTATGGGTAAGGTTTATGTCAATGTTACTGCCCCCAAAGTGCCCTGAGGATAGGCTGAGCTGGGCAGAAATCCAAACTGACCGTGGGCAAGCGGGACCTCCCGCTTAGGGCTCTCACATCCAGAGCCCCTACCCATCTGAACCAGGGTAAACTGATCACTGGATTCCTCGGAATTTAAACACTCGGACTGTGATGTAATCTAACAGGACCAGCAAGTTGCAGTTACCAGTTGTGCTGGCTAGTTTTCTGTCACGTTGGCATCAGCCTTAGTTAACTGAGAAGAGAAAACCTCAACTGAGAAAGTGCTTTCCTAAGATCTGGCTGTAGGCAAGCCTACATTTTTATTTATTTATTTATTTATTTATTTATTTATTTATTTATTTTGGTTTTTTTGAGACAGGCTTTCTCTGTAGCTTTGGAGCCTGTCCTGTAGCTAGCTCTTGTAGACCAGGTTAGCCTCGAATTCACAGAGATCAGCCTGCCTCTGCCTCCCGAGTGCTGGGATTAAAGGCGTGCGCCACCACTGCCTGATTTACAGAGCGTTTTCTTAATTCACAACTGATGAGGCTGATCAAGCCCATTGTGCGTGGTCCCATCCCTGGGCTTCTGGTCCTGGGTTCTAATAAGAAAGCATGAGGAGCAAGCCAGTAAGCAGCACTCCTCCGTGGCCTCTGCATCAGCTCCTGCCTCCAGGTTCCAGTTGTTTGAGTTTCTGTGCTGACTTCCTACAATGACAACAATGATGGGGAAGTGTAATCCAAGTAAACTCTTCCCCATCTGGTTTTTGGTCTTGGTGTTTCATCACAGCAATAATGACCCTTAATAGAACATCATTCTTTTCTGGACAGGACTCTAGGTTAGGGCACAAAAAAAAAACCAAAATGGCTTCTTAGGCAGGTGACTGAGGGGGTTGGGGACTTTCAGTAGACGTCAATGAGAAGCAAAAAGTAGCCCAAGGCTGGCCTAGTCTGACCCTTCAGGTGCCCAGGGCAGCTCCCCAGTGATCTGGGTCGGTTTTAGCTGCACTTCCTCTAGCACTGAATGCTGAGGACAGATCTATCCTTCGCCCCTCAAGAATACAAACAGCCTAGAGTTGCCCATGTCTGAGTCCCATGTGGCTGGGGACTCCAGACTCTGGAAGCTGTCAGAGGAGTCGGGTCAGACCTCCTGAAGGAGAGGAAGCAGATTATGGAGCAGTAGGAGGAGAAGTTCCTGCCAGAGAGCCAGCACCCTGAGCAGAAGGCAGCTGTAGAGTGAGGAACTCCGTCCACAGCCTGGCGAGGCCTTGAACAGCGATGGTCGCCATCAGACCTTCAGTGTTCACCTTCTAGCTTCAACTTTGAGATGCTGCAGCTTACTGGCCACCAAACAGTGCAGATAGATAGCCAGTGCTGTCTCCCCAGCTCCCAACCCCCTCAGTTCAGGGCTCTCCTGGGTCCTGGCCAGCTGTCCTACAATGTCATGACCCTCTCTTCCTTTAGGTGCTCATCAAAACACAGACAGAATATCAGCTTTCCTCCTCAGACCAGACAAAGAAGTTTGCAGACTTGGAGGGTCAAAGGCTGGCCTGTGGCCACCCAGAAGAAGGACGCAAAGTAAGTATATCATCCCTCCCTGAGGGAAGTTAGAGCAGGGGAGAGGCCAGATGAGCAATTCGGGTCTTGTTTTGTCCTGACTGAGTCCCACTTGGGTCTCCTAGGGACAAAAGGGATCAATCCTACTCAGATGTCGCCTTTCGTGCTGGCTGGCCACTAGCTGTCCCTCCTTACCCAGCCTTCTTCTGAGCAGCCTGAGCTCCCGGGAGACATTTCCCATGGGAATTACCTGTTTCCCAGCCCGTCATTGTCTACCTCTGTGCAGGCTTTTTATGGAACAGATATGAGCTTTACCTTTTATCTGGAAAATGCCTCCTCTTTGTCTTCTTTTAACCACGTCAATGATGGTTTTAATAATCACTTTTAGCTATTTCTAGTGCTTTTTTCATTTTCAGAAGCAACACCTGCGCTTTCCCATAGTTTCTTCAGTGGTTGTGCCCATCAAAGGTGCCGAGGCCTTTGTTTGTATCCACCCGGGGTGGTCCTAATGTTCCTACCTCACTAGATGTCACACACACACACACACACACATATACACACACACAACTTCCTGCATCCAGTCCTCCTGCTGTGACAACCACCAACTTCTGTAGGCCACATGGGCAGGGCAAACCAATAGCAACTTCTGGGTCAATTGGCTGCATGCAATTTAACTGGCCAAAGCAGTTTACTTGATCATAGATGTTTCCAGAATCCCAGCAAATCTGGGTCTGCAAAAAACAGCTTTGGTCCCAGAGCTGACCTCCAGGAAGGAGACAAGATGTAGGTGGGGCAGCGGTACTGTGCCTAGCCCCAGTTCTTAGGGACTATCCCTCAGGGAGGCTGGCCCGGCCATAGCTCACTGCACTAAGTTCTGCTCCTTTCCCTCTGCCAGGTGCCGACTGCAAGGATGATCGCCTTTGTCATGGCTCTCATGGGCTGTGTGCTGATCATGTACAAGGCCATTTGGTATGACCAGTTCTCCTGCCCTGATGGCTTCCTGCTTCGGGTAAGCCTGAGGGACCAAGGACCAGGGCACCACTAGGTTTTTTTCTAAATGACAAGGCTGACCCTGTGTGATTGATCCCCTTACTTCCTAGAATATACCAAGATCCCGTCTTTTGAAACTTTCCAGGCAAAGGTTGTTTTAGGGCGGCAGAAGTGGCCCAGTAGGGAAAAGCACATGCCGTCTAAGCATGAGGACCCAAAGAGAAGGCCAGATGTGACTGCCTGCACCCCAGCACTGTGGGGTGACAGAAACAGAACAGTTGCTAAGGCCTGCTCCAGGTTCAGTGAGAGACCCTGTCTCAAGGAGACCTTCTCTGGTCAACTCAAGCACAATCACAGACACACAAAACGAAACTCAAAAACAGAAAAGAGAGAAGGTTTTTTTTTTTTTTTAATCTAAACTGAAGTAGGAGGTGCTAGCACTCTTCAGTGCCCTGGGGCCCTCCAACTCCTGGGGAGGAGACCGCCTGCATTTGTCAGGTTTCTCTACTGAGCCCTTTAGCCCTTAGTCGTTTCCCTAGACTTCATGAGATTTGTTTCTTTGGTTTGTTTGTTTTTTGTTTTTTGGGTTTTTTTCCTAAGACAGGATCTGACTATGTAGCCCTGGCTGACCTGGAACTCACAGAAATATCTTACCTCTTAAGTGCTGGGATTAAAGACATGTAGCCCATATGAGAGGCCTTTTTTTTATCTTTTTTCTTTTTTATTATTTTTTGGGGGGGTTGTTTTGTTTTTTCGAGACGGGGTTTCTCTGTGTAACAGCCCTAACTGTCCTGGAACTAGCTCTTGTAGACCATACTGGCCTCAAACTCACAGAGATCCGCCTGCGTCTGCTTCCCAAGTGCTGAAATTAAAGGCGTGCGCCACCCCTGCTGGGTGCAAGAGGCTTTCAAATGTATTATGAGCATTAATGCTTCCTGCATATTTAGCAAATATTTCCTTCTACTTTAAAATCTCAACCCCATTAATTAGTTAAAATTTATAGCATTTTTTAAAAAGTGTTTCATACTTTAGAAGTAATGCCTCCTTTTTTTCCTCTTAATCCTCTGGTCTCTGGGATGGAGTTCGTGGGGGGGGGGCACAGAAGTCTGGCTGGCTTTTTTGTGGGGGGGAAGAAGAGACAAAGTTTTAGCTTCAGCTGTTCTGGAATTCACTATGGAGCCCACACTAGCCTCTGATTCACTTCAATCCTCCTGACTCAGCCTTTCCAGTGCCGGCATTACAAACATGGTCCCCACATCAGTCTGTGCTTTCTGCCTTTCCCACACAGCATGGTTCTAAGAGACACCTCACGGGCAAAGGTCCCACACCACACCTCCGCTTCTCCAAAGAGCCTCAGGCTCTGACCCTCTGACCCGAAGCCAAAGTCGCCTTTGTGGGTTTTTAATTATGGCCTTTCTCCTCCTCCTCCTCCTCTTACTCCTCCTCCTCTTACTCCTCCTTTCACTATGAACCCCGGTCCCCTTACCGGTCCGGAATACGCCTCTACAGCACAAGATCTGCACCCCGTTGACCCTGGAGATGTACTACACGGAGATGGACCCCGAGCGCCACCGCAGCATCCTGGCAGCCATCGGCGCCTACCCGATGAACCGCAAGCATGGCACCGAGATGCCCGCTGTCTGGGGGAACAACTACCGGGCCTCCAAGGAGGAGCATAAGGGCCCCACCCCAGCGGCAGTGGTTGTGTCCACTGCAGCTGCAACGGCAGCAGCGGGCCCAGAGCCATCAGGGAAGCCTTTGACCATAAGAGAGAAAGAAGACCCACAAAAGGCGGAGGGCGTGCCGTCCCAGCCCCCCCAGTGACTGTCGTCCCGACCCCCTCACACACACACACTCCCGCCACTGACTGGGGTAAGTGTGTTCCGCCCAAACAAGGACTGGCTAGCTCGCAGTTCACAGGCTTGCTCTGCCCTGCCCTGCCCTGCCCTACCTTGCCCATCTCTCCCACCTTTCCCTGACCCCACGCCACCCTTCCCCCATTTCCCCACATCCCTCAGTTCCCGCCAGTTCCAGCTGCGCACCCTCTCTTGAGGCTACCTCCAGGTCTGCGCGCAGGGCTTGCCTTCCTGTCCAGCACACCAGCCCTCTGTCCCTTTCACCCTGACCCTTCTGTTTTCACAGCGTCCCCCACCAGCTTCTTTGATCTGCGCACCTCCTGAAGCTTCTCCACCCAGTGATTGTGCTCCTGCCCCAAAGCACCCCGCTGAAGCCCCTGCCCCTGGTGAGCCTCTGACTCTGTTGCTTTTCTGTAAGTAAAGATTCACATCTACCTGAGCCTTGGTTCCTCTTTGGGTCGCAGCCTTGTGTGAGCATTTTCATTAGCCTCTGAACTCAAGAGGACACCTAATGATGCCTGCTTTTGAGGAAGAGAAGTAGTTCCTACCCTTCTCCACTCCAACCCAGCCTAGGGACCACTGGCCACAATGGAATAAACCACTCAGGGGAATTGGGGTGACTTCTGTCTGCCCCAGAGTCTACCTGTATTCCGCTGCACCTAGCTATCATCTACTTGGTGCTGGGTCTGGTTCTGGATCCTCTCCTTGCAATAGGATTGTCCTCCACTGGGAGGGGCTCTTGGGTTTTAGAAACTCTCGCGGTGAGTTCTTTCCTAGATAAGACACCTACAGCATGAATGACGAAGAAGGGACTGAATACTGGCCTGAGTCGGGAATGTGACTTTTCAGGACTTTGTGATAGTCTCCTGTGAGTTGGAGGGCCCCCTTGATCTCTTCTCTAGCATTGACATCTCCCTTGTCTAAAGGTTCCAGGGGAGCTGCCCAGTGTCCCTTGTCCCTTCCTCTTCCCCACACAACTAGCCCACGGTTCTAGGTGACTCTGACTCAGTCACTCACTCTAGCACATCTTTTCTGATCACTTCTTTCTTGGGCTTTGACCCCTCATCACCTGGAGAGGGGATCACTGCGGGATGAGGGTCATGACAGAGCTTGGGTTGCTCAGGGGGCCAGAGACTCTAAGCAGAAGGTTCAGTGCTATCTGCATGAAGCATAAAGGGTTCTTAGTCTTGAGTGGTATGCCCCCACGTCAGGGCCAGAGACTGTGGAGGAGCCCCTCTATTCTAATAGAAAGAACCCTAAAAACCTGGATGAGAGCTGGAGCTTATGTCCACGACATTGGGAGATCTCAAAAACTTGGATGCTGGAAAATCTGGACACTGGGTTTGTTGCTTCCAGGAGCTCAGTAGAGAAACACACACCCTGTGTCTTCTTGCTTCTGTGCATACACAAGCACACGCACACGTAAAATTCTCCCTGGGGCCTGGGGAGACAGCACAGGTAAAGTGACTGCCACGCAAGCGTGAGATCCTAACTTTGATCCCCTAATCAAAAAAGGGTGGGGGGAGGGGTGCAGCAGTATTTGAGACAGAGATAAGAAGATTCCTGGAGCTTGTTGGTTAGGCAGTCTGGCCAAATTAATGGACTCCATGTTCAGGGAGAGAACCTGTCTTGACGATTAATTGTATGTATGTATGTATGTTTGTATGTATGTATGTATGTGGAGGGGAGTTGAGGAAGATACTGGGCTACACACACAAATACATGCACATAAAAAAGCCTCCCCCCAGATCTTCATAGGTTCATAGTGACACCTCCAATTCAATGCATAACCTCTGAGTTATTCCAGTCTCCTTTCCCATATTTATAATTCCTTCATCATTGAGAAAATACCAGTTTATCCTTCATTCTAAGACTTATTTATTTTATCTGCTCTATCTTCATGCACACCTTTATGCCAGAAAAGGGCATCTGATCCCACTATAGATTGTTGTGAGTCACTATGTGGTTGCTGGGAATTGAACTCAGGACCTCTGGAAGAACAGCTGGTGCTTTTAACCACTGAGCCATCTCTCCAACTCCTATCCTTCATTCTTAACCTTGGCACAGACCCCACCTAGGTAAGTAAAGAGGCCAGGGCAGATGGAAGCTCAGCCCCTGAAGCTGGCCACCCCTCCATGAGAGTCAGGCTCGGCCCCACTTGCCCCTACCCACACACAACTCAGATTCTCACACAGCGGCTATAACACTCTCATACCTTGGGTGCCATGTTATAGTATGGCAGCTTCCTCCAAATGGGATACTTTAGGGGGAATGATTTGGGGGTGACCTTCCCAGGTCACACCACAAGGCCTCATTGATTTTAGCATCTACACTGTGGACTTTCAATTACCTGTGGCACTTGAATGGTATTCCTTGTGTGAGGGGCCCCTTCAGGTGTCAAGGTCAGCAGTGATCCTCAAAGAAGTGAGAATGCAAACTTGATTCAAACTGACTTCGTCAACCTGGATCAAACCTCTAGGAGTCTGATGCCAGGCTGTTTATTGCCAACAAATTTCAATACCGTATAATTTGGGGGGGAAAGTTTCCTGGTGTAATACAATCCCTGGTGCATTAGGAAGCATAATTACACCAAAACTCAACTCAAGGTACATGTCATTTCTCCCAAGAAGATGGGTTCTAGAGAGAGGCTACCTGTGCTAGTTTAAGGGTCTAAAGAAGGATCTGCATGGGTTTCAGTCACACAGATAGCAAAGAGATCATTTGGGCTATTTTAGCCACCTTTGGTCCTGGTTGTGGGAGCTTGGGGAAGCCTTTGGCTATATGGGTAATATAATGGTCATTTAGACTACGAGCCACTTCTGGTCCTGGTTGCGGGAGCTTGGTGGAGCCTATGGCTATATGGGTAATATAATGGTCATTTAGACTACGAGTCACCTCTGGTCCTGGTGCTAGAAGATTGATACTACCTGGCCCAACAGATATTGAAGGTCATCAGGCTATTAACCACCGCCCAGTTCTAGGCTTTCCAAATGGAAGAACAGGTTTTACATATTTTCTACTGAAAAGGCAATCCTGCATGCTTACACTCCTTGTTTCCCTGGTGATTTGTGTGCAAAGGACGTTTGCGCTTCCAACACTTGTGATCCTAAAATAGCCTGCACCCTGTAACTACTCCTATGATTCCATAGTGCTTGGCTTCATGCAGGCATAAAAAGCTAAAGCCATGGGCTGGAAAGCTACCTTCATGGTTCGGAGCACTGGCTGTTCTTCTATAGGATCCAGGTTCTATTCCTAGCACCCACATGTTGTCTCACAACCATCTGTAACTCTAGTCCCAAGGGATCTGATATCCTCTTCTGACCTCTGCAGGCACTAGGTGCATACATCGTGCAGAGACCTACATGTAGGCAGAACATTTGTACACAAAAAAGCTAAAACTGGGACATACTCTTCTCCCAGGAATTGTGTGATCCAATGCCCTGCCCCTCTCTCCTCCAGTCTCCGTGAGTCCACGTTCCCCTGAGATTGGGAACCTTTGGAGAGGAGCAAAAAGCAACAGCAGTCCTGGGGACATACGAGGGGCTTCCTGAATGGTGAGAATTGGTCTGATGCCATAGTCGGGGCTGCACTCAAAACATACCACAGAACCATGGTTCTGGACCCAGGAGAATCTCCTAAACCAGCAATAGGGGTCTCACCTCACTCCTTGTCATCAGTTAGAGAGCAGATAGACAGGGACTGACTTGACCAGCTGTGTTATCTATAAGAACTATATAGCCCTTCAGGGCCTGACCTGGAGACCTCATTTCTTTGTAAGTTGGTGGCTGCAGAAGCAGGCACCAGGTCTGGGACCTTCTTGTGAATAGTGAGTCACTTGCCACAGAACAATTCTGTTGAGCCCCTGATGTCACTTGGGCTCTGCACGCTAAGGGTACACACTTTGTAGCCCCTGTCACCTGATGGATCAGAAGGTGGAACTGTCTGCAGCCCTTCTAGGGCTGGAGAGTATTTTTTTACAGAGTTTCAAAGGTCTTTCAGACCCAGTGAAGGGCCCCACCAGTTCTGAAACTTAGATCCATTGCCTGGACAAGTTCCCTGTCGGCCTCAGGGAAGAGTGTGACTAGGAAGGCCTGGTCTATCCTTCCCATTCAGGGTAAAACTCCATTCATCATAGAGGATGAGCAAGGCCCAGCCAGTTAGACAGAACTTGGCGATCCTGTGACTGAAGAGTGTGGGGACATCCAACAAGGCCTTGACTCCTGTATATTGGGTTCAAATAGCTCTACCAGAGTCAAGCCTATAGTCTGATAATGCGAGCATCATTATGACACAGTTAGCCTCAGCCGAGAGTACCTCCGTCTCTGTATTGTGAAAAACCTACTAGACAGAGGAGGACTCACTGCAGAGGTCTTGGCCCTCACCTTACCAGAACAGCAGAAAGGTACACCATGACCCATTAGCTGGCCTTGACCATGCAGGAGAACCTGGTGGCTAGCAGCCTGGCGAGACCCAGCAGCAAGAGATACTCTCCAGAAACTCGGTGTGGTGGGGCTCCAGGGGGTGGGGTGGGTCCGAGAAGTCTATGTCCCTTCCTCAGCATCCTTTCCACATGCTCCATGTATGGTGCACCCAGAATCACATGGGGGTCGTCCAGGGCTGTGCAGTGGATCCATGAATCCAAGGTTCTGGAGCTGCAGACTATGGCCCTGGGAGGAGGTGACAACTGGAGTAGAGGCAGAGCCAGGCAGGACTCTGCTGCAGAGACAGGGCACATTGGTGTCCTTGTCACCAACAGAAAGAGGCAGTGCCTCTTAAAGCTTCTCACAGCCCATTTGAAAGATCAATGGCAGCGTAAAATGGCTCGTTTTACATGTTCCCCCTCTAATTGTGTGTACAAATGTGTTATTTCATGACTTAAAAAAAATCTTGGTCCTTTGAAGTGACAGACCTTTGTTGTGTCCTTTTTGTTGTCTGACTCCTGGCTCCTGGCTACGAGGCTTTGGCTGCAGGGATAGGAATGTCATTTAGTCCGTGACTACCCAGAAGGGTTGCAGAGGCATGTATGGGCATGTTTGTGTGTGTGTACATATATGTACGTGTATGCAGGTAAGCACCTCCCTATGTGTGTCCATACGTTAGAGTATGCCTGCGCTTGGGTATGTAGCACAGAGGCAGCCAAACCTCTTTCTTCCTTCAGGCCTGACATATCTTGGTGCTGAGTTCCAGGCTCAGAGTTCCAGAAGGCCATGGAACTCCTGCACTTTGGAGTGGAACTATGGCCATGGCAGATGCTGCCTACACAGTATGGGATCTGCTCCTCAGTGTCCTGGGTGCCTGGCCTGCTCTGGCCCTGGTGTAAATGGAAGGCCAGCTCTGTGCAGAGGCCAACACTCAAGAATGTGGCCTCTGAGGTCCTTGCCACAAGCTATGGCTGCTGGAGAGAGAGGCAGGTCTAACGACCAGGTGGAGCCCGATGGC